AACACTATAAGCTAGAAACATTAGGAGTACTTTGAATTACAGATTTGATGCCAAACTACAAACAATTAAGAATAAATACTATACATCTAATGCTTCCTTAAAACCAAACATTCATTTTGAATCTGAGTATGAGATTTTCAGTGACAACTGAATCTGTCTGCTTTGCTTTTTACAGTTCATCATCCACTACTGCAAACATTACAATTATACAGATGATCAGTACAGGTATGAAAGGAGTTTCAAAAACCCCTATGCTAATTTACACACAAGTTTAGAAAATGTGGTAAACTGTGAAGCTTTCTCCCATATTCTGGTTTCATTTTGTTTTCACATGTAGAAAAAACTCAGCTCCATGGATCTGGGGGTGTGGCACATGGGATTTTCTACAGCAAGCTCCAAGTTAGACCTCCACAGTGGTGGCACCCATGTGCAGTCTTAGCTATTTACTAGGAGAGGTACTGAAATCCACAGGGAAGACACACACTTCAATGAACAGGTGTGTTCAACCAAAAAGTCTTCAATATTTATTATTCATTTCCACTGGCGTTACCTTCTTAAAGGTCTCACTATTGGCTGTTACATACACATGAAGAGTAAAGAATGGCTAAAGGTAGATGACATTGTACACAATCAGGAGCCCATGGCGGTGCAGTGTTTCTTCGCCTGTTCTATCCAGACCCTGAGTAGAAAGAGAGTTCCTGTACCGGTTGATACAGGTTGCAGAGTGAACCACAGGATCTTTAACTTTTCAAAATGAAAGACATTGAGCATCATGTTGGCAACACGGTAGGGTAAAATATAATTGGTTGGGTGTGCTGGCTCATGCCTGTAATCCCAGCACTTTGGGAGGCTGAGTTTGGTGGATCACTTAAGGTCAGGAGTTCAAGACTGGCCCAGCCAACATGGTGAAACCTTGTAACTACTGAAAATACAAATATTAGCAGGTCATGCTGTCGGGCGCCTGTAGTCCCAGCTACTCAGGAGGCTGAGGCATGAGAATTGCTTCAACCTCGGAGGCGGAGGTTGCAGTGACCCAAGATCATGCCACTGCACTCCAGCCTGGGTGACAGACTGAAAGCCCATCTCAAGAAAGAAAAAAAAAAAAATGAAGATAATTGTCACAGGCTCTGTATTGGGTGTAAACTGTGTGAGTGCATCTGCTCACACTCATGCACATGCCCACAAACTGAACCTTAGCAGTTGGCTGGAGGGCAGTGGCTCACACCTGTAATCCTAGCACTTTGGGAAGCCGAGGTGGGTGGATCACCTGAGGTCAGGAGTTCAAGACCAGCCTGGCCATCATAATGAAACCATCTTTATTTAAAAAAAAAAAAAACTTAGCAGGCAAGGCAGGGAGGCAAAAATGTATAATCCCAGCACTTTGGGAAGCTGAGGCTGGTTGGATTACCTCTGGTGCTCCAGATTCCAAGAGTCTCCATCTTATAGGAGCCTCTTTCCATGTGGCCAGGGCCCATTGCCTTTACTATCCTCCAGCCACTCCTTGCCATTTCTCCGCAAGGCATGCCCCGGCCTTAGGACCTTTGTACTTACTGTCTTCCCCCATCAATAGCCATGTGCTGCTACCTCATGTCCTCTGGTATCTGCTCAGATGCTGCCCTATCAGAGAGACTCTCCTGACACAATCACTCTCCACCTCCCTTTTCTTTCAGGGCATGGACCCCTCCTGCATCCTGCATATTTTAGCATTTGTTCCTGTCTCTCCCTGCTAGAATGCAAGTGGCAGGGAACTATATCCCAAACACCTGGTAAGTGCTCAATGACAGCTTTTTCAAGGGCCACATTTCCGTAATGTTAAAATGTATTATGAAAGGGGAACAGCACGTTAATTTTCCTGCGCCTAGAAGGTGCAGGCTGTTTAAGGCCCTGCCACACATGGTGTCACACTACTGACCCATGAAGTACCAGAGGTTGCAAGAGAACCAGCTTTTACAAAACAGCACTCAAGGCTAGGAGCAGGGACTCACACCTGTAATCCCAGCACTTTCAGAAGCTGAGGTGGGCAGATTATCTGAGGTCTGGAGTTTGAGACCAACCTAGCCACCATGGTGAAACCCCATCTCTACTAAAAGTACAAAGTTAACCAGCAGTAGTGGCACACGCCTGTGATACCCAACTACTCGGGAAGCTGAGGGCAGAATTGCTAGGGCCAGGGAGGCAGACGGTAGCAGTGAGCTGAGATTGTGCCACTGCGCTCCAGCATGGGCAACAAGACTGAAACTCCGCCTCAAATAACAACAACAAAAAAAAACAACAACACAGAAAAAAAACATTAAAGATAAAATAGCAAGTAAAGACTAGTCCTCAGAACCCTTGCCTCAGAAGTTTCTAGGCTAGATCTGAAGGTTCTCAACAACAAAAAACCATCATTAAAGATAAAATAGCAAGTAAAGACTAGTCCTCAGAACCCTTGCCTCAGAAGTTTCTAGGCTAGATCTGAAGGTTCTGAAATACTGACTCAATATTTGTCTTGCTTTAAGTCATTCCTGTTTCACTTTCTTTACCAACCATAAATAATTTACCATGGTAAGTCCTCTTCCACTGCTATCTACACTGATACTAGTAACTAATATATCCTGAAACAGTAAGTCCACGTGTGCATTACTTTAAAATAAAAGCAAGATTCCTTTATTTTGTAATTAATAAAATTCATTATATGTACAACCAGATTCCCCTTGAGAATTGCTCTCAGAATTCCTGTCCTATCCTAAATGTAAACATAGGATGGGAGATGCACACGCTGATTTAAAAAAAAAAAAAAAAGGGATGAAATGATCAATTTACAAATCATACATTTTTTTGTAAAACAGATCGAAAACTCTCCACATCTCCTTACATCATCAATTATCCTTGAGTCTACAACCAGCTTATGTCACATCAAAATAGTCTTTCTTTGGAAATGTGTGAGAAGTTAAATGTTTAAATCTGAGCTCAAATCACAAGTATGGCTTTAATACTATTTTTTATTTAATGGAATCGCCCTGTTTCCCAGGCTGGAGTGCAGTGGCGCAGTCTTGGCTCACTGCAACCTCCACCTCCTGAGTTCAAGAGATTCTCCTGCCTTGGCCTCTCCCAAGCGCAGGCATGCCCCAACACACCCAGCTAATTTTGTTTTGTTTTGTTTTGTTTTTTGAGACGGAGTTTCACTCTCGTTACCCAGAATGGAGTGCAACGGCGCAATCTCTGCTCACCACAACCTCCGCCTCCTGGATTCAGGCAATTCTCCTGCCTCAGCCTCCTGAGTAGCTGGGATTACAGGCACGCGCCACCATGCCCAGCTAATTTTTTTGTGTTTTTAGTAGAGACGGGGTTTCACCATGTTTGACCTGGATGGTCCTCGATCTCTTCACCTCGTGATCTACCCGCCTCCCTCAGCCTCCTGAGTAGCCGGGATTACAGGCACGCGCCACCATGCCCAGCTCATTTTTTGTATTTTTAGTAGAGACGGGGTTTCACCATACTGACCAGGATGGTCTCGATCTCTTCACCTCGTGATCCACCCACCTCAGCCTCCCATCGAGACCATCCTGGTCAACATGGTGAAACCCCGTCTCTACTAAAAATACAAAAAAAAAATTAGCTGGGCATGGTGGCGCGTGTCTGTAATCCCGGCTACTCAGGAGGCTGAGGCAGGAGAATTGCCTGAACCCAGGAGGCGGAGGTTGCTTGAGCCTAGATCCCGCCATTGCACTCCAGCCTGGGTAACAAGAGCGAAACTCCGACTCAATTTAAAAAAAAAAAAAAGAGATGAGGTTTCACCATGTTAGCCAGACTGGTCTCTTAACTTCAGGTGATCCAACAACCTCGGCCTCCTAAGGTGCTGGGATTACCGGTGTCAGCCACCATGGCCAGCCTTTAATGCTAGTTTTATTTGGTGCCACCCAAGTCCTATCAAGCCTTGACTTGGCCCTGCTCCATCAGTCTTACCCCTGTGCCTGCACATCCAGAAGGTTCACATGCAAAAGTCAATGATACGACACTGCACAAAGCTACAGCAGGAATGCCGTTTCTCCATCTCTCTACTTGCTCCCAGTAAGTTACCCAGGCCCCAGTGGCCGCTCCCTGCCTCTTTTCCACCTTGAGAGCCCGAAGAGGGCATCTAACCGACTCCCCAGTCGGTGAGTAGGACCTCCACTTCCAGAAGCATCCATGATTTCTCCTAGCCACCCTGACAGATGTGCCCCACGTACACTGCTGCCCAGCACAAGCTAATGGCCTCATTCCCATGCCTCCCTTTTTTGCTAACATGACCTCTCTCACAAATCAGTTTCGGGATTAAGTGAGGAAATAGAAGAAAGATACTAGCACTATTTTCAAATCTTTCCCTCCCTCCACATAACTACAGACAACCAGAACCAAGGAAGAGAAGGAGACACATATTAGAACAAAAAGGTTTGCGAATAATGAAGAGAACAGTAATACTTGCAGCAAATAGTGCCTTTTAAAACACAGAAGGGAGGGCGGGGCACCGTGGCTCATAACTGTAATCCCAGCACTTTGGGAGGCCGAGGCGGGTGGATCATGAAGTCAAGAGATGGAGACCATCCTGGTCAACATGGTGAAACCCCGTCTCTACTAAAAATACAAAAAACTAGCTGGGCATGGTGGCGCGTGCCTGTAATCCCAGCTACTTGGGAGGCTGAGGCAGGAGAATTGCCTGAACCCAGGAGGTGAAGGTTGCGGTGAGCCGAGATGGCGCCATTGCACTCCCGCCTGGGTAACAAGAGCGAAACTCTGTCTCAAAAAAAAAAAAAGAAGAAGAAGAAGAAGAAGATGATTTTTAAAACAAAACCTGGGGTTTCTGGAACAAGGAATTCTGTTTTAAGACATCAGCATCCAGACTTGAGATGTGCCAGCCTCACTCACTGACACAGAATAATTCTTTGAAATTGGTCTTTTATACTTACTACATCTCTCTCAATGGCTCTGTTTCTTTGGAGAACCCTGATAGACAAAGGAGAAATCTGGATAGGGACCATTCATAGGAGCAGCAGAAGGAAGACACACAACAGTCACCAAACTAAACATGCTTCTGGGAGGCTGTAATGTGCCAAAAACTTACAAGAACCAGGTCTAGGACCCAGAAAGGGCAAACTATCTATCTGACAACAGATTAATAACCAGAATATATAAGAAGCTCAAACAACTTTAGAGGAAAAATTTTAATAATCTGTTTTGAAAATGAACAAAATCTCTGAATCTCCAAAGAGGACATAAATGCTAGCAGGTATATCTAGGAAAAGGTGCTCTACATCCAGCTGAAGATGCCAGCAGAAGAGGACTCTGTTTCCTAGAGGCCCTGGAGAAGGGACGAAGGAGGCAATTCTGGCGTCTTCTCAGCACAGTCACCGCTCTCAGATGAAGGCAGCCTGGTGATGTCATGCCGGCTTTTCAGCAACTGGACTCTTCCTGGAATTCTCCGGAGGAATTATGAATGCATCAGTCCTGATGGCCAGAAAGCAACACTGAGGGGACCTTGTGGAAGAGAAAAAAGGACAGAAAGCAACACCTGTGAGTCCCCACTTGAAGCCAGCCCTGTCCCTGGGCTCCAGTCTGGCTCTGGCCCCTATGCTTTCCCCACCCTTTTGACCTGGAGAACTTCTGTTTCACCTTTAGGATCTGACTTAATAGTTGGGCACAGTGGCTCACTCCAGTAATCCCAGCACTTCGGGAGGCCAGGGCGGGCAGATCACGAGATCTGAAGTTTGAGACCAGCCTAACCAACATGATGAAACCCCGTCTCTATTAAAAATACCAAAAAAAAAGAAAACCTTACCTGGGCATGGTGGTGCATGCCTGCAGTCCCAGCTACTCAGGAGGCTGAGGCAGGAGAATCACTTGAACCCGGAGGCAGAAGTTGCAGTGAGCCAAGACTGCAGCACGGCACTCCCACCTGGATGACCGAGCAAGACTATCTCCCCGCCAAAAAAACAAAAAAACAAAAAACAAGTCTGACTCAAAAAGTGCCTCTCCAGCTTTTTGAACTTTACTTACCAATCCAGGGCACCCAGGGCATATGCTGATGATGGCCAGGTCCTGTGTACTTAAACTGTTGGCTGCGTGCTGCTTAGGAAGTACCTGTGAGAGCATGGGACAGACCCATCACAGGACATTCCACTGTGGACACCAGCAGGAGCCCACTGGACCCTTCATCTAAAGAAATACTAACAAATAACCAAAGCAAGTGGCTCACAGGAGCTCGAACACACCCTAAAGTCACACTGAAAACTCCTGTACTAGAAATAAAAGAAATCTGCTCCTGACGTCAGCACAGGAGGGTGAAACTAGCCCAGGCAGAGCCCAAGCTCATGTGCCGGAGGACAAGGGGAGAGATGAGGTGGAGGGCACCTCGGGGCCAGAACACAAGGAGAAGCTTGAATTCTGATTAGGAAGCATGACGGCTCCTGAGGCTTGCGGCAGGCAGTGGCTGTGCTGACAATAACACCTCAGCGCCCACCTCGAACCACCCACTTGAGGGTGAAACACTCCCTCCGGCACCCATGGCCCCACTGTCCAGAACAAAATCTGCTGCGGAAGTGAGGACCACACACAACCAACACACATACCCTCCATTTTGTTAAAAATAACCCTCTGGAATGAACACACCAAAGTAACAATAGTGCTCACCTACTCGGGTAGGAGAGAGCAGGGAATAGAGCAGAGGGGGAATGTCACTGCACCTTTACAAACTTCAAAATGTTCAAGCAACATGAGCATGTCACTTACTGTTTTAAGGTGAGTTTAACATATCAGCTTCTCAGCCGGAAGTCAGATGAGATGGAGTGCTCGGGCAGGGATCCTGGTGCCTGGAAGGAAACAAGAGGGCCCTGAGAGGTGAGCCACAGGGGCTGAGTCGGTGACTGCCCACGGACCTCGGGAGCACAGCTGACCTGTCCGGATGAAATGCTCAGGTGGAAGCAGAAGAGCCGTGATCCACAACTGAGGCTACAGAAACACTGGATAAGCAAAAAGGAGATGAGTTGTGGGGAACAGAAGGTTTTCCATGATACAATAAATTTCCTAATCCCTCCATTTCAACTCTGGTTCACAATTGAATTCACTATAGGTTGAAGCACAGATTTGTTATAAGAATTTCAAAGGAGACAACCAGTATGCTATCAGAAGAAGGCTCACGTGGGTAGATCTAGATAATGGTGGAATTCAGAATCAACACCAGATGAGACCGTCATCTCCAAGGAAACACAGTGGTGACCTTTTTCGTTATTATTTGACCTTCATGACTTGAATACAAGATGTTGTTTGAAATTTCTGAAAATGTTAAATGTTCAATTAGTTACACTGAAACAGAAATTTCTCTCAAGCAATCTGTGAATGCTACAGATCAAGATAAGAAGCTCAAAAATACTGTACCTTCATCTCAAGAGGACTCTTTAACTGTTATCTCTATCCTTGGAGAACAAGCAGTGAAGGATCAAGGATCAGCCTCAGCAGAAAAACAGGATCCACCACACCACCCCCACCTCCCCCATGAAGGGAGCACACAGGGAGGAATGCCCACAGCCTGGAGATTCAAGTCCAGGGGAAAAAAGGGGGCCAGAGAGATCTGTACTGCAAGATCTCTCTGACCGCTTTGCAGGCCCAGCGGAATGCAGTGTGGACTGCATTCTGCTGGGCCTGCAGCTCCTGACACCTGAAAGGCACTGGAAGCTCCTCGAAGGCCAAGACCTTGCTCAGGTCATTCGGTCAAGTCCTCGAAGCCTCTCTTCTCTACCTGAGGGAAGACATCTGACCAGGACACGGGAAAGGGCCCAAGAAAGCCTGTGCACCTGATTTCTTGTGGACAGTGGTGGCTGGAGGTACATACCAAGCTTCGATTTCCACACGAGTGCCAAGCAGAAAAGAATGGATGTGCAGGGGCAGAGACTGGCAGAAGACCAGATGGGGGACCTGGTCATAACTTTTGAAGCTCCCCAAAGTTGAGAAACCACTGAGGAGGGGCTACTGTTCATAGTAAAAAGATGTTATGTACACAAATAACTAGAAAAATCAGACATCATATTGCTTAAACAGAACTTAAAACCGTAACACTTTCAAGGCCATTGGACTGAAAACATTCACACTGATTTCACCTTGCCTTCTGCAAGCCAATTCCTCTTGGGAAAGGTAGGATTGTCCGCAGGCTGATCTTTTACCAGTATTGTAACAGAGTGCACTATAGTTTTCTTGTGCAAATCATCACAGCTTGATACCAGTGCAGTCTTACAATCAGCGAGGTGCTGCATGTCCGTGCTTCCAACGTGTGTGTTCTTTCCATCCAGGAGTTCTGAGAGTTTACCTGAGGAAGCAAGCAAAAGCACAGACACACACAAACATGGTCATGGCAGTGGCTCTTTCAGGTCTAAAATGAAATTTCTGCAAATTACAGGATGATTGATGAGCTGCGACTTTAACCTCTCCAGCTCACTTCCTCCTCAGATTTCTCAAGGAAAAGAAAAATGTCAACTCCTTAATATCTGCTACAGAGGAGATTCATTGACAAAGACGACACCCACTTTGAATGAGCTGTGCACCAAGGCCCCATGTTGGATCCTTCTTTCATTTTAAATGGCATTGCTGTCACTGGCCACACAGGATACTCCTGGAAGAGTCCACAGTATTGGTGAGCTATTTATTATCTATCATTCAGGGAAAGAAAAATAAGTGATCTTTTCTTCCGTACCTTTCTCCTGATTTTCTGAACTTTTGCAAGTAGTATACATAACTTAGAGAGGAGAATAAACACAGCTACTGGTGTGCATCTGCAGGTGTCTCCTCAATGTTATCAGGCCCCAACATCACCCGTGAGGGTTCCCAGAGCAAGAAAACTCCTCCAGTGGGAGTTTCCATAGTGAACAAGAGGCTACAACATCATCAAATCCATAAATACATCAAACTTAATACATATATCAATAGACATAGTTCGAAAACAGGCTCACTTACCCTTTCCTGGACTAAGAGTTTCCTCTGTAAAGACTTACTTATCGGTGGGGCACAGAGGCTCATGCCTGTAGTCCTATGACTTTGGGAGGCAGGTGGATGGCTTCAATTCAGGAGTTCGAGACCAGCCTGGGCAACATGGTGAAACTCTGTCTCTACCAAAAATACAAAAAATTAGGCAGGCAGGGCGGCACATACCTATGATCCCAGCTACTTGGGAAGGCTGAGATGGGAGGATTACTTGAGTGCAGGTGAGCAAGCGAGGATGCAGGTAACCAAGATTGTGGTTACCCCAGCCTGGATAATAGGGCAAGACCTTATCTGAAAAAATGAAAAGGGACTTCTTTATTGCCTTCCATTAGACGAACCTGCAGAAAACAACAGTAATAAATACTACATCTACAAGAATTATAAAGCAAACATTTTTACAAAATTTATCTTGGTTTGAGGATTCTACAACATAACATCATAGGAAGGCAAAAGGGTCACTGTCAGGCAGAGGACTCCAGTAACAACCAGGAGGACACCTATGTCTCTGGAGCAATGCTGAAGCTGTGGTTACTTCCAGTGACCAATACGCCATACCCATCTAAGAAGCAGTTACGACTTACAGAATTCATGCAATTATTAAAAATCAGGAGGCTTTTATGACAGAGGAAAATACTCACAATAGAATGTTACCGGAAAGGTACATTTAGTTATCACACTGAGTATACATGCCGAGGTCAACATCTCAAGAAGAAATCTTACCAGAACGGTCATCATCATCCTGTTTCTCCAGGAAGCCAGTAGAGACATTCCATTCTCTCCCCATTCAAGGGAAAGGTCCAGTCCCAGGGACAAGGCTCTTCCACGGATCCACAACCCAAGAGGAAGCCTCAGAGGCGCAGGCTCTGGGAGTACCTGGTGGCAGCTTCAAGCCAACAGCACACTGGAGTGCAGCACTTGAACACTGCACGTCAATTGTAGAAGGCCGCTTGGCTCAGGCAGTGGGATGGGACACAGGAATGGGTTTATTGACTTTATAACAGAGTATAAAAGTAAAAACAACTCAAATACACTCTCTTCCAGAGAACAAATTGAGGTTGTTCAACAAAATGCTGGCCCACGATGAGACCCCAGATAAACGTTAGGGGTCATCAAGTGTGAGGGCAACTAACAAGTCAGGTGACCAAGACTCAAAGACCTACAATGCCACTGGGCAGTTTTCTGGACTTCTTTAAAAAACTCCACATGCCTATAGAATATGAGGGGAGCAGTTTGGGCTAGAAAGACCTCCATGAGGACTCCACAAGGGTGAAACCAGTTAAACTGCCCTTTTCTGAGCCTCTCAGTGCTGCAGGTACTGCCCCCTGCCCCATGAGACCTAATGAGAGGCAGCTTAAGGTGGCTTCATGTTGACCATGTGGTCACTGGCTATACAGACCAAAGGCGAGCCAGCACACCAGGCCAGGCAAGTACACAGGGCACTTGCATGAACACTCAGAAGTTTCAAAACCTGACCTTGCAGAGAACAGGTCCAGGAGGCTGCCGGGAAGTCTTCATCTTGCTGGCCTCAGGCAAGTCACAGAAACGCAGGCTCTGCTGTGCCCGGGAGCCCATGGGGATAAGGGTAGAAAATTAATGCCAACTGGGTAAGGCCAGAAGATTATGACCAGGTGAGTAATGCCAGGATGTTAGTTCAGACCAGGTGGTTGAGCCCAGAGGTAAGGCTAGTGGGAAGCCAGGGGTGTAGGGAAAGGGGACAAGGACAAAGAGATTTAGCCAGATTGGTAGCCAAGGAGGGTAAGGCCATGAGGTGGAGACCAGCTGAGTAACACTAGGCAATTCACACCTGGTAAGAACAATAGGTTAGGGTCAGGTGCATAAAGTCAGGGGGCTGAGGCCAAGAGTATATAAGCCATGAGATTAATGCTGGGCTTCCAAGCCCAGGCAATAAAGGTCTGGAGATGGGCCAGGTGGGGGAACAGTAAGAAGAGAAGGCAAAGGAGCTAAGGCCAAGGTCTCGGTAGGCGAGTAAAGCCAGTTAGTTACAGTTAGTTAAAGCCAGGAAAGTAAGGCTGCTGGGTGGGTTAAGATGGGGAAAGCCAGAGGCCTACACCAAGAATGGTAAGCACTATGGGTTAAGAGCTATGGGGGATGGCCAGGGCGGCAGCACAACACATTACAGCAATGTAGTTTTGGGGGGATGAACCCAGGTAGGGAAGACTAGGATGTTATGGCCAGACATGAAGGCCGGTGGCTAAGGCATGATGGGTAAGGCCATGTGAGTTATAACAAAAGCTTAAGGACAGGTGGGAATACCAGGTTGGAAAGCTATATTGGTCATCTAGGTAAGTAAGGCCATGAGGTTAAGGCCAGGTGGGTAAGTCCAGGTGGCTAATGGGAGGTGTCTAAGTCTAGGGGTGGGGTGGGGAAGCAGTGGTAAATCTGGGGAATAAGGTCAGGGAGTTAAGTCCAGGGAAGGAAGCCTAGGGAGGTAAATTCAGTGGTTTAGACCTGATAGATAAAACCAGAAGTTTATAGACACTTGTGTAAACCAAGTGTGGAGGCCATGTGGGTCATGTATGGTTGGTGAGACTAGGCGGGAACACTAGGTGGCTAATCGAGGTTTTTAGGGCCATGGGGTTAAGATCCACAGGGTTAGGCCAGGTGGGTAAGGCTAATGGGGCATGGCCAGGACCATAAAATAAGATGGGCAAGGCCCTGGAGTAATGGCAATTGAGTAAGACCTCATGGGCAAGATCACATGGGTCTTGAACAGAGATCAAAGCCAGCAAATTGAAGCCAGGTGGGTAAGAACAGGTGGATGATGGTGAGCAAGAAGTCATGGCCAGGTGGGTAAGGGCAGAACTATTAGGCCATAAAATTAAGACTCAGTGAGTATGGCCAGGGGGTTAATAAAGCCAGAAAGATAATGGCAGGTTCGGAATACCATGAGGATAAGATGATGCGATGAAGCCAATGAGCTTAGGAAGTTCTGCTGAGTGCAGTCAGGTTGTTAAAACCAGGTGTTTAGGCAGGGTGTGGTGGCTCCCACCTGTAATCCCAGCACTTTATCTGCCCCTTGGCATCCCAACCTGAGATTGGAAGTTTGAGACCAGCCTGGCCAACATGGAGAAACCCTGTCAATACAAAAAATATAAAACTAGCCAGACGTGGTGGCGCATGACTGTAATCCCAGCTACTCGGGAGGCTGAGGCAGGAGAAGGCCTAGTGGGTATGAATAGGTAAACAAGGTCATGTGGGAAGGCCAGGAAAGGAAAACCAGGGATTGGGACACAGGATGTGACACCAGCTTAAGTCCAGTGGGGCTGGGATGACTGAGCAAGGGAGAATAGAGCATTGAGATTAACTGCTAAGGCCAACTGGGTAAGGCTGAGAGGTAAGATGAGTGGGGTGATTCGGGTTGGTAAGGACAGGACATCCAGTACAGTAAGGGCAGGTGAGTATGCTAGATGCATAAGGCCAGGAGATTCATACTGGATGACTAAGGCCAGGAGGTTCATAAGGCAGGTGGGTAAATCTAAGTTAGCAAATCATGGAGTTAGGACTGATCAGGAAGCCAAGCAATTGAAAAGGCTGGGTAAAGCTAGGACCGGGGTTGGGGCTGGGCCATGGGGTTGGGGATAAAGCTGGGGATGTGGGGGGAGCTGGGATATGGAGTTGGGGGTAAAGCTAGGGCTGGAGCTGGGCCTAGACCTGGGACATGGAGTTGAGGGTAACGCTATGGGAAAAGGGCAGGGTGGTGATAGTACCGGGCGACAAAACCAAGGGAGGTAAACTCAGGGGCTTAAAGCCTGGGGAAACTAGGTGGCTATTACAGGTTTTTAAGGCCATGAGGCTAAGACCCATAGGGTTATGTCAGCTGGGGACGGTGAATGGGTACAAGCCAGGGCTGTAAAATGAGGTGGGTAAGGCTACAAGGCAAGTGCAGGGAAGCAGTGGCAGGAGCTTCATAAGGCAGGTGGGTAAATCTTAGTGGTAAAATCAGCTGAGTCTGATGGGAGATTGAGGCCAGGAAATTACAACCAGGTGAGTAAGAACATGTGGACAATGGCAGGAAGTTATGGCCGGTCCAGTAAGGTCAGGATTTTTAGCCAAAGTCATGAAGACTGGGAGAGTAGGGCAAGGAGGTTAATAAGGCCAGATGGATAATGAAGTTCGTCATACCATGAGGACAAAATAAGATGACGAATGCAAACAGGTCAATAAGGTTGGCTGAGTCTGGCCAGGTTGTTAAAACCAGGTATCTAAATCGAGCTCAATAAAGGACTATTTCAGTAACCCCAGGCTGTGAAATCAACAGGAAAAACACCCATTAGGATTAAGGGCAAGTCGCCAAGTCAGTCAAATTGTGACCTGAGGCAAATATTATGTGGGTAACACAGTGTAGGGAAGGTGAGGAGGTAAAGGCCAGCTCAATAAAGGAGGGGGTTAACACCAGTAGGGTATGTAGCCAACAAATTAAGTCATACTGGGTGAGGCCAGGCAGCTGAAGACATTGGGTGAGTATGGCCATAAAGTGAATGACATGGTTAACTAAGTTAGCTAAACAATGAGGTTAACACTGGATCAGGAAACAAAGCTATTTAAAAGGCCAGGTGGCTAATACCAGTAAGTTAAAGCCTCCCTGAATACAGCCAGGTGACTAACTTGAAGTGGGTAATGCCATGAGGTTAAAGGTAGGCAGATTAATACAGGAGGATAAGGCCATGAGACTAAGAATGAAAGTTACTAAGCTATTTTGCTCATCTAGGTTGGTGAAGCCATGATGTGAAGGCCAGATAGATAACTCCAGGTGACAAGTGCAAGGTGTCTAAGTCCAGGGGTCAGTGGTAAACCTAGGGAATAAGGGCAGGGGTATTAGTCTAGGAGAGTAAACCTAGGGAGGTAAATCCAGGGGTTAAGTCCTGGTAGATTAAACCAGAAGATTAAGGACAGTTTTGTAAACCAACATGAAGGCCATTTGGGTCATTTATGTTTGGTAAGACCAGGAGGGGAAACATGCCGGATAACCATGCTTGTTGAAGCTGTGAGGTTAAGGTTGATAGGTTAGGTCTGGTGAGGAAAACTGATGGGGTCCGGTCAGGGTGGTAAAATGAGGGGGACAAAGCCAGACAGTAAAGGCAGGGGACTGAGGCTTCATGGGCAAGATCAGGTAGGTCATGACCAGAGATTTAGGCCAGCAAATTAAATCCAGATGGGTAAGAACAGGCGACTAAAGGTGGGTGGGGACTTGTGGCCAGGTGTGTAACACTGGGACATTTAGGCCATTAAATTAAGTCTAGGTGAGTAAGGCCAGGAGGTCAATCAGGTCAGATGGTTCTTTTCAGGCTCCTAATATCATGTGGACAACCTAGGGTGATGAAGGCATGGTGATTAGTTAAGTTTGACTGGGTGAGGCCAGGTTGTTAAAACCAGATATATAAATCCAGCTGAATAAAAGACTGTTTAGGTAACACGAGGCTGGTAAATTAATGGCAGAAACATCCAGGAGAATTAAGGCCAAGTCAACAAGCCAGCCAAATAATGACAGGAGGCTAAAACTAGGTGGGTAAGACAGTGAAGGGAAGGCGAGGAGGTTAAGGCAAGCTGAATAAAACTAGGTGCGTGACACCAGATGGACATGAGGCCAGCAGATTAAGTCATGCTGTCTGAGACCAGGCAGGTGAATATGGCTTGTGAATATGGGCCTAAAATTAATCAGGTCGGGTACAGAAGGCCTAATGGGTAAGGCCAGATAAATAAGGCCACATGGGAAGGTCAATAGGTGAGGGCTGGGAAAGTAAGCCCAAGGGTCAGGACACTAAGTGCCACTAAGTTAAGGCCAATGGGGCTGGGAGATGTAAGACCACAAATTGGGACTAATTTTGAAGACCAAATAGGTAAAGCCTGGGTAGAATAAATCAGTTGGGTGATTCGGGTTGGTAAGGACATGAAGTTAAAGCCAATAGGGTAAGACCAGGTGGCTAAGCCACATACATAAGGCCAGCAGATTAATGCTGAATGAGTAATGCCAACTTGCCAAATCAGCTAAAAAATGACAGGAAGCTAATACTAGGTGGGCAAGACACTGCAGGGAAGGCAAGGAGGTGAAGGCCTGCTGAATAAAACCAAATAGTCAACACCAGATGGGTATGAGGCCAGCAAATTAAATCATGTTATACTGGCTGAGGCCAGGCAGGTGAATATGGCAGATGAGTATGGCTGTCAAGTCTATAAGGTCGGATGCAGAGGGCCTAGTAGGTAAGGACAGTAGTTGAACAAGGCCAAGTGGGTACGGCCAAGAAAAATACTACCAAGTGGGAAGGACAATAGGTGAAGGCAAGGAAAGTAATGTCAGGGTCTGGGGCAGCAGATAGTGACTCTAGGTTAAGGCCAGTAGAGCTGGGACAGCTAAGTAAAACCAAAAGTTTGAGACTAATTTTTAAGGCCAACTGGGGTAGGTGAAATCAGCTGGGTAATTCTGGTTGGTAAGTACATGATGTTAAGGTCAAGTAGAATAAGGCCAGGTAGGTAAGCCAGATGCACAAGGTCAGGGGATTTATACAAAATGAGTAAGGCCAGGAGGTTCATAAGGCAGGTGGATAAATCTAGGTTGGCAAAACCATGAGGTTAAGGCTGAGTCAGGAAGGCAAACTATTTAAATAGCAAGATGGGTAAAATTAGTAAATTTAAAACTCCCTGAATACAACTAGGTGGCTGAGTTTAAATGGGTAAAGGTAAGAGGTTACAGCTAGGTCCATTAGACCAGAAGGTTAAGGCCACGTGAGTGAGAAGGAAACATTAAGTCCAGGTAGGTAAGCTAACTTGATAATTCTGGATGGTAAGGCCAAGCCAGGCGGGTAAAGCAAGGTGTCTGTGTCTGTGTGTTTGTGGGGGTGGGGGGGGGGCGGCTATCTAAGGAATAAGTGAAAGGGGAAATTCTAGGGGAGTGAACCTAGAAAGATAAATCCAAGGGGCTAAGGCCTGGTATATACAACCAGAAGATTAAGGTCAGGAGATTCATTCTGGATAAGTCAGGCCAGGAGGTTCATTAAGTCAGGTGAGTAAATCTAAGTTGGCAAAAACATGAGGTTAAGACCAGGTTAGGAAGCCAAGGGATTGGACTGTCTGGGTGGCTTAGGCCAGGAAGTTAAGGCATTTCAAATTGAGCTAGGTGGTTAATTCCAACTGGCTAATTCCAAGAGCTTAATACTAGGCAGTATTATGGGAAAGGGGCAGGGGAAATGATAAAAGCAAAGGAGAAAACCGAGGGAGGTAAATCCAGGGGGGCTTAAGACCTGTTAGATAAAACCAGATGGCTGAGGACAGTTGCCTAAGCCAAGTGTAGAGGTTATATGGGTCACATAGGATCAAGAAGACTAGTTGGGAAAACTATGTGGTTAATTCAGGTTGTCAAGGCCATGAGGTTCAAGCCCATTAGGTTAGGCCAGGCAGGGAAGGTTAATGGGGCCTGGCCAGGACTGTAACATGAGGTGGATAAGGCTAGGGGCATGGAGTTGGCAGTGGGGCTGGGCAGGGCCGGGACTGGGACATGGAGTTGCGGGTAAAGCTGGGGCTGGGGTTAAAGCTGGGGCTGGGGCTGGCACTGGGGCTGGGCCATGAAGTTGGGGGTAAAGCTATGGAAAAAGGGCAGGGTGATGGTAACACCAGTGGACAAACCCTAGGGAGGTAAACCCAGGGGCTTATGGCCTGTTAGCTAAAACCAAAGGCTAAGGATAATTGTGAAAAATGTGGAGGCCACGTGGGTGACATATGATCAGTTAGACTAGCTGGAAAACTGGCTGGCTGATCAAGGTTTTTAAGGCCATGAAGTTAAGACCCATAGGGTCAGCCCAGCTGGGGAAGGTTAATAGGCTCTGGCCAGGGCTGGAAAATGAGGTGGGTAAGGCAAGAAGGCAAGGGCAGGGGAGCAGTGGCAGCAGGTGGGTAAATCTTAGTGGGTAAAATCAGCTGGGTCTTGATGGGAGATTGAGGCCACAGAATTACAACTAGGTGAGTAAGGACACGTGGACAATGGTGGGAGGTTATGTCCAGTTGGGTAAGTACATAATTTTTGGGCAGTCATAAAGACTGGACAAGTAGGTCCAGGAGTTAATAAGGCCATATGGAGAATGTCAAGTTTGTGGCACCATGAGGAGAAAATAAAGTGATGAAGGAAATCAGATGAGTGAGGTTGGCTGAGTTCGGCCAGGTTATTAAAACCAGGTGTCCAAATGCAGCTCAATGAAAGACTATTTCAGCAACCCCAGGCTGTGAAATCAACAGGGAAAATACCCAGTAGGATTAAGGAGAAGTTGCCAAGCCAGTCAAATGATGACCTGAGGCAAATACTAGGTGGGTAAGACTGGGGAAGGGAGGAGGTAATGGCCAGCTGAATAAACCAGGTGGTAAACATCAGTAGTGTATGAAGCAAGCAGATTAAGTCATGTTGGCTGAGGGGAGGCAGCTGAAGAAACTGAGGGAGTATGGCCTTAAGCTTAATAATGACATGGTTAACCAAAGGTTAAGGACAGCTGCATATACCAAGTGTGAAGGCCATGTTTGGTAAGACTAGGTGGGAAAACTTGGCAGCTAATCCAATTTGTTAAGGCTGTAAGGTTAAAGCCCGTTAAGGTTAAGCCAGGTGACTGAGGCTAACCGGGTCTCACCAGAGAGGGGAGTAAAACCAGGGCATAAGGACAGGGAAGTAAGGCCTCATGAGTAAGAGAAGATGGGTCTTGTTGGCAGATTGAGGGCAGCAAATTAAAGCCAGGTGGGTGAGAGTAAGTGGATGATGGTGGGAACTTATGGCCAGTGGGTAAGGCTGGGACTTTTAGGCCAGGAAATTCAGCCTGGGTCAGTAAGGCCAGGAGTTTCATAGGGCCATGTGAAT